AAAAAAATTAACATCAAACATCAAACAATTGTTTCCATAAACCAAAATAACCCTTTAGCCTGATTTATAGATTGCCTTCCTTCCTTCCTTCCGTAAAAGATGAACAATACGAAAATCGTAGAGCCTTTTATAGATTCTCGCACAATCCACACAACAAGGTCTGTTCTATCTCGTACTAAAAATACAAAAAATCACTGCAACACTGCACAGTTTAACGGCGGCCATTTTTGTTGTTTACAATTTTTGTGCTTTACATTTTACTCCTCTATTGTATAAAAAATAAACTTTATTCTATCAGGGCTGTCATAAATTTGTCAAATGTCAATTTTAAGGTTAAATTATAACCCACAAATTAACCTTCAAATTGTCATTTGACAGCCCTGATAGAATAAGGTATATTTATTATAAAAGAGGAGTAAAATGGTTGTCCTTAGCACTTAAAGGCCTTATTTGAGGATACAAGTGCCTCTGTAAGAAACACAACGTTTAAAACAATTATTAAACAGCACAAACCCAAAGCACAAGAATTGTAAACAACAAAAATGGCCGCCGTTAAACTCTGTGCAGTGTTGCAGTGATTTTTAGTATTTTTAGGGAATCTTTAAAAAGCACAACGGTTTTTGTATTGTTCATCTTCTACGGGACGAAGGAAGGAAGGAAGGAAGGCATCTATAAATCAGGCTTTTAACAATCTTTTTTGCAATTTACAAAAATCTCTAAATGTTGTTCCGATTTGCTAGTATCGGCAACGCAGCAGGGGGTCCAGTCAGCCAGCAGAAAGCCGGAGCGATGGACAAGGTCCGGCCCGGTGAAAATGGTGGCCTTGACTCCTGCGAGTTCAGCAGGCGTCCTGCTAGCACTCTGAAAGCGCACTTTCTAAAATGCGAGCTCGTTCTCGTTGTGTTCTACCCATTGGGCACGCGGGTGACTTTTGCCAAGCGAAAACGACATCTACCACGCGATACGCAGAAAAATGTTAAGATATTAAAAATGACCCTATTTCATTACAAAAAACTAAACTAAACTGGTTTTATAGCAAGTAATAAGGATATGGTTATGTTCATATTTATATTTTTGCATACACTTCATTCGTAAGTCTTGACACAACTGTTACAACGTTACATCACGTCCCTCCAAGCCGATTTGAATCAGTAACTTTCTCAAAAATTGGAACAATTTTTTGTTGACAAACTCGATTTTATGTCTCAACACCATCATCCTTAATAAAAACTTTTCCACATAAAAAAAATATTCCTAAACAAACAAAATGAACACAAAAATAACATACACACAATTAAATAACATACCATTCTGAAATCATCAAATTATAAACAAATTTGGTACAATATAATTATCAGTACTACCACTACACTTACAGATGTATTTCGTTACTTTAACCCACTTTACTGTATCCCCTAATTTCAGTTTAAAAACCAGTGATGGAATCTTTTTTCGGATACTTCGCACTTCGCACAGTATAGGTATAAGGAATCCGAATAAGATGTGTTCAGAAAATATCGGGAATTTTCGTTTCTTGAAACAAATATTTATTTATTCGTCTACATTAATGTTGTCGCCTTCAAAATAGTCCCCATTGGATATTATGCACATGTGCCAGCTCTTCTTCCAATACTTAAAACACTTCCAAAACTCGATCTTTGGGATAGCCTTTAGTCCTTTCAGCGATGCGCTTTTAATGTCATCTATGCTGGCAAAACAACGGCCCTTTAAGGTTCTCTTTATTTTTGGGAATAGGAAAAAGTCAGACAGAGGCATGTCTGGCGAATATGGAGGCTGGGGCATCATTACAGTATTGTTTTTGGCCAAAAATTTTGTTCAAAATTTAACAATTTTAGAACAAATTTTGCTGCCACGCGTTTCATACCCTAAACATTCGAAAAAATTTCATGGGATGAGCCAATCGATATACCAACATCGTCAGCGACTTCTCTGATGGTTTATAACCATTTCTTCCACTTTTTCCATATTTTTATCGGTTGTTAATGTGCTTGTGCGTTCGGGGAGTTCGTCATCTTCAACGTCTTCACGGCCATCTTGGAAACTCTTATACCACTTGTAAACTCTTGTTTTACTTATAGCAGACTCACTATAGGCCTTTGTTAACATTTCACAGAATTTATTTCATTTTTTAATCAAAATTGGATACAAATTCTTTGATCCATTTCTTTTAACGAACGAAAAATCGCCGAGCTCATAAAACACGTCTAACCTTAGCGGCTGCCACAGACAAAGTAAACAATGAAAACAGCTAATTTTTTATTATACTTCGAGGGCATGTATACCAACATAATAAAGAAAATTTTATGACAACCGGACCCACTGAACCCGCGAAATTTAACAATTCCCGTTATTTTCTGAACACACCTCGTATAGTGTTTATAGTGGAATTATTTTTATTTCATATTATATTACAAAAAAGAAATAGTTTTATTACCGTAAATATCTTTGACTGTGAAAAATTAAGTCAACCAGCAGGTGATAATATCTCATCCGGTCCTTACAATGACTTGCCCAAAATACAGTTATCTATAAACCGGTTGTTTCCGGGATTTTAAATTTACCTTTTTTATATACTTTGGTAACCACAATTAAGATATCCTAAATTGTACCTTATTTATTTAATTAATTACTAGCCTGTTAAAAACAATCGTCGAATATCTTTATCCGCCAGACGTTAACATTTTATAATAATTATAACTCGCCGTAGCGTAACAAAACAATTCTCTTCTTGGTAATTAAAACTAAATCAAGACAATAAATACTTAGGGAAAGTGTGTTTTTATTAAATTTTAATTAATTGATTATTCCAGCGATTAATTGAGTCTTTTGTATAAATGCATGTATTTTTTAGGTTTTGGTGTGGATTAGTTTATTTAATAATGTTTGTTTAAAATATTACACACACTGTATCCGGTATGGTAAACTAACTACAATTTCACTTGTAACCGTTTTATACAAATAGGAAAAAAGAAAAAGTTAAACAATATTTGAATGTATGTCAAATCAAAATTAAGTGGAACATTCTTAAACAAACATGAAAACTTTATATTTATGACTCAATCAAATTAGTTTAATTACGGTGTTTGCATGAAATTCAATCTTTAGTTTTATAAAATGTTGTTTCGACACTAAATTTATCTATAAAGTTTTGTATATTTATTAGTATCACGCAACCAATATTATCCAAATGTATTATACTTCGACACATATATAGTCCGGGATTTAAACTAGTGTCTAATTACTGGATTGTATCCAGTTTTTCCCATTTAGGTCTTATCCTAGCCAGTTTGTTTTTTTATGCCAATATCTTTGCTTTTTTACCAGGTTACCAGCTTTCAATTTATTTACTATAGTGCATCCTAACTATTTGTCAGTAGGTACCATTCCAACTGTCGTTTCTCAATTATTTCCTTTAAGGGGATCTGGAACTGTCAGTAATCAATGATAACAAAGTACTTACTAACCGATTTTGAATATCATTGTTTTTAGAGGTTCTTTTTCTTTCTTTCTTAAAATTGTTTTATTAACAGCATAGTACAATTTGGTATTTTTATTTGCTCTATCAGCTCTATTAGCCATCGTCCGAGATTATGCTGTCCAGATATTTAAACGTTCAAACTTGTTCTAAATCATGTCCTGTTTTCTATTGTCCTCTTCTCAAGTGGTACTCTATTGTTACGATCATTGTTTTACATTTTTTTATATTAATTTTCATCTGAAATTATCTGTTATATATCTTCTACTCAAATACTGGTTAATTTTTTTAACTATTGGTAAGTGCTATTAAAACATATCATTAGCTGTCTAATTTAATGGTCGTAATCTTTTGTAATGTATGGTTTTTCTTACGTGATTTAATAGTTTTTAAATATTAGATTCTTTGTACATAAATGTCCTTGTTTGAGTGACTCATCGTGGTCATCGACCATCAAACACAGGAATGTATATCCAGATATGTAAAAATGAAGTTTCACGTTTATTGCCATTTTAATAACTTAAAACATGCTTTTAAATTACCTGGGACGCATTAAAAAAAATTAAAAAGAATAATAAAATATGAGAAATATGATAATGGGCTGTAAACTTTTTAACATGGAGTATTGGCAGTAAAGAGGAATAGTACCTATGTAACAACTTTATTACATGGTCGATTTTAATTAAATATAATTAAGGGGCATTTACATTTCTTATTGTTACTATGTTTTAATAAAATTATTATAGAGATAGCATCTTTTGATCGTGTCCTTGGCCAAGGACGTACAATTAACATCTTCCTTAAACAATAATTAACTTGCCAGCTGGTTTAATGTAAATATTATTCTTTTAATAAGCCAATAATTTTTTATTTATTATTAACATTTAAACAGAATTCATTATTTGTACCCACTATTATATAAATCAGTTTGTATAAAATTAGGGTTTGTAATAAATATTATTTTAATGCAATTTTGTAAGCATTTTGTTGATTTCAAAGGTTATAGGTTATGTTGTTAATGTTTAACAAATTATTTCGTTGAAAAAGTACACGTGATTTCAGGCAGTCAATGACTTCAGCGTCTGCAACTAAACATAAGTTAAAGACAACAACGAAATAGTTTGTTAAAGATTAACAAAATAATCTGTTACTTTTGAAATTAACAAAATGCTTACAAAATTGTATATTACCTTTAAAAAACTTCCAGTAAAATATTTTACAAAATAAAATTAACAAACTACAAAATCTTGTAAACAAATCTGATTTTCATAGCAGTGTAGCTTCTTTAAAGAAGCAGGCGCCCATTTATTTCATATTTAATTAATACACGACTAGACCATATCTACAAGATTATAATAGTGAAAGTAATGCTCTGAATGTACCGTTTAGCTTAAAGTAATTTACATTTAAAGATTAGATTTATAGGATGATAGTAATAAAAGTAGCAATATCAGTTCAATGGGTTGTTTCGTAACGACTAAAGTATTTGTCTTGTTGTTTTCAGAGATGAACCTCGAGTAGTGATGTCAAAATGGCGGCCACAGATGGTCAGATCACCGTGGCGGCGGCCCGTTGGGCGGAAGAGGGCAGCTACTTGCGCGAGTTCGTCTCCAAGCACCGTTTACCGGCTGTCGTCAAGATAATCAAGGGTCAGTATGGGGGGCTGGGGGTGCCCACCCTGCCCAGCCCCGGGCTGCAGTCGACGGCGATGCTGGTGTCGGCGGGAAAGCGGCAGAAGATCGTCGCCCAGGCGGTGAAGATCAAGGAAGGTAGAAGATTAGTGTGCGTGGGTCCGCGGCTGGTTATCCCCGAAACGTACACCGGTTACTTCGAACTTCTCAGTGAGGAGGGGAGGGCTGTGCGCTGCGTCGAGAGTGTAATCGAGTTGGCCAGGCGGAGACCCGAGGAGGGCTGCCTGGTGCGCGAGACGATACGCGGGGTCCAAGCCAAGACTGATTTAGACGGCTCGGTGGTCCCCGAGGGAGCGAGGACCGTCCCGGCAGGTGAGATACTAGTCCCCACAGGCGAGGCCGTTCTACCAGGCTCCAAAGGCAGGTACCTCAAGTGCCTGGACTCGCGAGGCGACACCATACTGCTGGGCCTGGAGCAGAGAGGAAAGTTCTCCATCCTCGCCCGAGAGGATAACATCAGCGGCGTTCACACCGCTAAGAACTTGCTGAGCAAACGACTGCCTTTAACTGTTAGATTAGTCCACGGAACAGCGCCGAGAGGCTTAAAATCGCCGAGTCATTTTGTGCCAGAGCTTAGGTTATTGTCTATTTTCGAAGAGGAGCACGTGTTCGCATTACCCCTCCAAAAGGAAAGTCAAAGCGTGACGGCTCTTCCCTTGGCTGCGCCGCTAAAACTGCTGCGCACCCGCAACGAAGACCAATTAAGGGAGATGGTCGAGTTTAATAGACTGGTCGATAAATGCACGAAATTAGCGAGCGACGTAGCGGATCGCATTCAAGTATTGGACGGCAAACTGGGCGATTCGAAGAAGCAATCGCCCACCCAGCCCACCGAGATGAAGAACGGATTCCTGCTGAGGCGAAGCGCGTCGTCCGACTCGGCCAACCACCGCACCAAACACTCCCATCACAGGAGAGACGAAAATCGGATCCCCGTGCACTCGAAGGACTACGACGAGATCGATCAAATCTACGATTACGTGCGTGGATTCGCGCCGCTGCCCAAGAACATCCGGTCCCCCTTTTCGGACCCGTCTCCTTCCCTAACGTCTCACAGCTCCACACCCTCTCATCCAGTCTCCGATCTCGCCAAACCCGAACCCCCTCCCATCGAAACCATACCCACCAAAAAGCTGCAAGCTGAGAAAAGAAATAGAAAATCGACGATTAAAGATAACACAGCCAAAGTACACACGCACAACGAAAAGACCCCACCGGGGTTGCCGAAACTGTACGTTAAAAACGGGCATTCGCAACGCAGTAGGCTTCTCAGGCAGAAGAGCGCTTCTCCGATGAAAGAAACCCCGCCGAGTCCGATGTCGAAGTCCGGCTCTCCCTTGTTTAACATTCGCTACAAGTCCCTGAACAACCTTCAGCAGGCCATGGAGTTGGACGGCACTTTGGACTCGAGCAACTCCGGGGGTCGCGCTTCCGGTGATTCCGGTGGAGGGGCCAAGCAACCCGAGAAAAGATCTCGGAAGTTGTCGAGGCCGAGAAGTCTGACGAACCTGGTTTGGGAGATACGCGAGCACCCGGACATTTCGATGCCCATCGTGGACAAGCCCAAGAAGATCGTCGACCCAGCTGCCATAGTCTACAAGAAGCACTCCAAGTACTCCATAAGCGGGCAAAATCAGCGCAGGGGCGCCGGTACCCTTTATTTGTAATTATCTCGATACGTATGAAAATGGGGTGGTTAAATTTTTTCTGACCTATACTTTTTATGGTTTTATTCAAGGCGTTTTATATTAAACATTTCTGTGAAATCAGAATTTCAATTGAGTTTACCGTTTTCGAGATATTTACAAAAAATATAAATTTTTATGACGTCACAAACCTCGCCATGTGACCAACATTCTAAGATTTCTATTGGTTGAAAATTACCCTGTTGTCAAGTTGTCTTGTTAATGATTTCATTCGGTTATGTCAGAAAATACCCGAAGAGGTTATGTACAAATACTGTCACTGTCAGTTGAGTGAAAGATGGTCACCAAATTCATTAAGTACCTACCTATCTTCCTTATTACGAGGTATCATATTACTGTTTGATATTTTAGAGTCCAAGATATATCTAAAAGAATATAAAGAACTAGGCATTATACTAATGAAATGCATTTACGACAAAATATGATTATAGTTATAGTTACTTACTTTATTTGTTTAAAAGCTCCAATGTTCAATGTAACCAACCATTCCACCAGATTCCTCTGCTTTGGAGTCCGTTATTAATAAATCACTTATCTAATATCAATTACAAATAACATAACAATAACATTGATTTTCAATAATCTAAATTTAAAAAAAACATAACCCGAAAAAAAGAAACGTCAAAAAATCAATTCTTCTTCTTCTTCTCAACTAAAATTATAGATCAAGTGGTTTTAAAACTAAAATATTATAACGTGGCGCCATCTATCGTAAGAATCGTAAACTAAACACACTGGCAACCATAGAAAAAACTGCCAACGTTGTCAATAGCCTAGTGACGTAATTAGGAGATTTTTTTTTGTAAATATCTCGAAAACGGTTAACTCAATTGAAATTCCGATTTCACAGAAATGTTTAAAATTACAAAACGCCTTGAATAAAACCATAAAAAGTATAGGTCAGAAAAAATTTAACTACCCCATTTCAAATTATTTTTTTAATGACATATTGACGACATGCATTGTATAATTAATGTAAATATGTGCCTGTATCTCTGGATTTTTCCAGTAGTGTATTATTGTTATGTACCCCACCCCCAGCTTAGCTGTTTTGTGATTTGTGTACTGTGTAAGTTTCAAAAAGTTTTCTATTAATTTAAGACTTGTGATTTTTAGATTTAGTAAATTTTTATTTAAATACAACTGATGATGATAACATTTGATTCAAATAAATTTAAATAAAAGTTATTATACTTTATTTGTGTTTTTTATTTCTCACCATGGAAGTTTAAATTGTAAACAGAGCTTGGAGTATCTTGAAAAAAAAAAGATACTTGAAAGTAACCTAGATACTTTATCTTAGATACTTTTTATATTGGACAGAAAGTAACTAAGTTACTTTGGAAAAGTATCTTGTAACTTGTATCTTTAAACTTGTTTAGTATACTAAACAGCTACTATAATTTTTACTTAAAAGTAATTCTAACCTTTAAATAGCAATATTTTGTAACAGAAATTTCATTCTTTTCTTAAATGGTTACAATAAAGTAATAAACATTTTAGTAAAACTTGGTTGCCCCCAAGAAGACTTTGCAACTTTAAAAAAGGTATTATAAGTAAAAAAAACTTTTAAGTAAATTTAATTTGTAGCAGTTACTTTCGGTTGCTACCTAAAGATTACATTATAATTATTTTTACTTTGTAGTCCCTTTGCAAGTTAAAATCTCGAAACTGGAACATGAGTTAAAAACTACAAAGTTAACAACTTAAAAGTTATTATTTTATTATTTGGAACGTGTATTGTACTAACCAAAACTACCGTAAAGTAAATTAAAGTGGAAAAAAACTTTAAAGTAGCGAAAACTACTTCAAAGGAAAATGCTTCTTATCGGCCATTTTTTACTGTACAGTACCACGTGGTAATATAAATAATAAATTATTTTAATTGTTTTTAAATTGTTGTTTACTTTTTAATAAATAGTAATTTTGTTGGTAATAGACGGTATTAATAATTAAATAAAAAATTAATAACAAATATTAAGATTTTTTTTATTTATAATCATTATTAAATAAATAATTTGTTTATACTTAAATATTGATGAAGCGCATTTATTTTACAAAAACTAAATTCATAAGGTCAACAGTAAAATTTAACCTTTTACTGGTGGCGCACGGCCTAACAGGCCCAAGCGATCTTATTTAACGGATAATTATGAAAATAATTAAGAGGCAACTCTGTATTTTTCAGTACCTTCCTAACTTTTTGCGTAGAAAGGTGTAGTGCAATGTTTATTTACTTACAGTTCAAACTTAAAAAGTTATAACCTAAAACGGCCTGAAAGGCCGGGCGCCACCATTTATGCTATACGACTATTTTGTGGTATATTAATTATTTAGCATATTTTTTACTTTATTCTATCAAATATGGTCATATTTTATGGGCTAATGAATGTGGCTGGAATAAATGCCCAAGAAATACACACTGCTAATAATTCAAATTATTAATGCGAAGGCTCTTGAAGAACGTCGCTATGTCCTAGTAAAAGCATTTGAAACGCCGTTCTATGGAACAAAATTTACCAACTGAGGTAGGTACGTCAAAGGCGACAAGAAGTAGCTGGGACTTCTGCCGATAATGTTGAACCTCAACTAATTCCCCCTGGAACCAGAAAAAGGGTTGCAGAATGTCGCATAGACAGAAGGATCACACACTTTATAGACAAAAATTTCTATGTATGACCCATGCCAAAATTATGTGTCATAATTGTGTGGAAAAAAGTCAAAACCACGTTTAATATGATATTTTGTTATTCAAGCTTATAAACCATTTGTTTATTTTTGGTAGAATATTTTTTTTATTTAGTTTTTTGTGAAATAATATTATGTCACCTTATAATCCTGCCCCCATAAAATTAACCTTATATTTCAAACATATGAGGTTTTTTTGTTAAAAAAATAGTGACCTTGGTCACAATATGATTAAGTAATAAATTAAAAGTAAAAAATTCACAAAGAAAAAATACTAGCATACATAGGATTTTTTTAAATTTACGGGCCTGACAGGCCGGGCGCCACCACCAATGTTAAATATAAGGCGCCACTACTACAAGGTTAAAGGGTTTATAAATTTACCTGTTATTCTGGAAGTACATATTTAATAAACGACGACATTGAAATGCCAAGTCCGTAGTGGTTCCATTAAAAAAAGGAGGAATAGTATAATCTAATATAAGTTTGACAAAGACAGTTAATATAGAAGTAAAAACAAATAAATAAAAGTAATTATAACGCTCTAGCAACGATATTAAAACGTTCCAGTAACGTAGCAGCTACGTTCCAAATAGTAGCAGGGTTTATAGCTAGTGACATATTTGTTACCTTTTTGGAACTCAATAATTGTTCCCCACTTTAGTCGTAACTTAGTAATGAAAGAGTAATATAAAGAGACCGGCGACTGTAGCAAAACACTTAAAGTTTCTTCACTAGTCCCATATACGTAACAAATACTTAAATTGTTACTTTAAAGTAACTTAGATACTTTTCAGTGTAACTTAGATACTTTCTTGGAGAAAAGTAACTTAGTTACTCAAAAGTATCTTAGTTACTTAAAAGTATCTTAGTTAAGTACTCAAAAGTAGATACTTTCTGATAGTATCTTGGATACTTTTTAAAGTATCTTGTAGCTAAAGATACTTTTAACTTAAAGTATCTAGTTACCAGAGGTAACTAAGTTATTTTGATTAAAGTATCTTAGAAAAGTAACTAGATACTTTTCAGAAGTAACTTTCCAAGCTCTAATTGTAAACTAGTTTTAATTGTGCAACAAATTTAAGAAAAGCAGCATACACGAGGCAAAACTACCAGACGCTATACTTTTCTGTAATAAAACTGCAATTTTAATGGCAGGAAGTTCCTTGACTACGCAAGCCCTTGCATACATACATTATAAGGATTTTATACCCTCCTATTATTCTCTTAATGCTAAGTACGTAGGTAAACTAAAGATAAGTATCCATTTACACGAAGTGGGTTTTTAAAGTTAAACAAATCATAGTAAAATAAGCTCCACCATACACGATAAATTCCTAGTTAGTTCCTGGGAATACTCTTTTATTAAACAGCACTGCAGTGTGACAAAACGTCCACTTAAAACGTAAACTAACAGCAATAAAACCACAATTTTACATTCGAAGGATTACATAATAACGCGCTACCAACACAAACAATACGACAACGTTTAGTGTAACCAATGTCTTTAAACATGACTCGAGCTTCTGTGTGTTATTGCACGGTTGGTAGTGCTGCTGTTTGCTCAAATGACACATCGAACGGGCAATTTGCAATAAAAATGTCGCGGATAGGTCGTGAATTGTTTAAATTAATTTTATCTGCGGTCAACGACTCTCAATTATTTGTATGTACGGCATAATAAATTTTAATTGTTGTTCAAGAATAGCTTCAAGAATATCAAATAGATAAATACCATGCTCATATTTTTTTTACTAAAGAAAAACATTTTATTTTAGGACGCCTTGTAACTCCATTTTGGACAAAAATTAGTTGGGACTATATTAAAAGCTAGTAAGTCTATAGTATACCTAGTAATAACCATTTTACTATGTACCCGTTTAGGGTGTAAATCGTATCAATCGAAAAATAAAAGGTGATGATCAATTAAATTAAACATTAAAACAATACATAAATAAGAGCATCAATTAATAGGTATCAAATGCTGGAAATCAGACATTTAAAGATCAAGAAAATCCTTTTCCTCCAAAAATTCAGTGACACTATGATTCAAGGGAGGAAATAAATCAGTACTAAAATTGGTCCTCATACTCTCCTCCTTATAGGGGGAACCAATAATTTTTGAATAAAATACTTGGTTTTATTTTTTAAATTTATTTATTTATTTTTTAAATTTTAATTAAAGTAGGTGCAAAAAATACCAATATTAAATATTTGCTCGACGAACTCTTTTTTTCTGTTGAACACAGATAACTTTGTTATTTTAAATAGAA